CTCACACATACCAGCAGGATAGGACCTGAACCAACTCAAGACCTCATGGTCCACCGTAACAGAGGCAGCATGGTGTTTAACACTGTTACGTATGTGGGGCTTCTATTGTGTTTTTAGCTGAATATGAATGTAGAAAGACTGTTCCTCTGTTGCAAATGTAGTATTTTATTGTGAAAGAATTTACAAAAAGTGTTTTAAAGTGTTGTAACTTTATAAATGTGGTTCCCTGTCCTCATCCTCTTTTGTTTTTATTCCTTGAAATTGAAACTTTCAAGAGGACAAAACCAACGTTTATTTCGAAGTGACACAAGAAGTGTTTCTACTAACTTATGTAAATGTCGTCTCCCCCTCCTCCATATTGTTAATACACCCAATAAAACAAATATCAGGATTTTCTTCTGCAACAGCTTTAAGGCTAAAATATTCATTTCTCTGAAGTCCAACAGAAATAAAGTGGAGTTCCTGCTTACCCCCACCCGAGGGCGCTAAACACCAATCTCGCCTTCATTTCTAGATTGTGGACCAGAGAGTATTTGGGGCTTGTCATCCTGGAAGACGGAAGAAAAACCTACTCATTTATAAAAGTCCACCATCCACCTCTTCCACCAGATTATAATCCCGGTTTATAGACTCTGACACTGGAGGGCAGCAACCCCCATCTTCCCTTCTTTCTAAATGCTGTTGGAAACCAGTGTTGTTCTGTTTTTTTGCCAGCAGGGGGCGCATGTTCATCGTTCTTTCAAAACACAGTAAAAATAATTAGAGGAAGTGTTTTTTTTTCACTATGTAACACTTGTAAAAGTTCATTAGATGCTAAATGGCCTGTATTTGACAACGCGCCTTCTAGAGTACTGGAACCCCCCAAGGCAATTTACAACACAATCAGTCATTCACCCATTCACACACACATTCACATGCTGGTAGGGATGAGCTACGACGTAGCTACAGCCCTGGGGGCACTGGCAGAGGCGAGGCTGCTGAGCACTGGCGCCACCGGTCCCTCCGACCACCACCAGCAGGCAAGCCCAAGGACACACCGACAGTGACAAGCTGAGCAGCTGTACATGTATATACATATACATATATATATATATATATATATATATATATATATATATATATATATATATATATGTATATATATATATATATACATATACATATATATATACATATATATATATATATACATATATATATATATATGTACATGTGTATATATATATATATATGTATATGTATATATATATATATATATATATATATATATATATATATATATATATATATATATATACATATATATATATATATATATATATACATATACATATATATATACATATATATATATATATACATATATATATATATATATACATGTGTATATATATATGTACGTATTGGGGTATTGCGTTCACTGTATGATTTTGCACCTACAGCAAAGAGAAACATGGAGCCTTCATTTCATAGATCTTTAAAATCTGAAACATACCAGAGAGAAACTACAAAAAATGTGCAATTCATTCTGCACTAGTTTGTGCAACAGGGCCTCTGCAGCACGCCTGCAGCGGAGCTTCTTTTCTTGTTCCTCGAAGATGTCTCACCTCACACCCCAAGGTTTCTTTTAATGTGGAGAGGTTCTAATTGTTCTTCATGTTTATGTGAAGTATGGCTGGTTGTGTCATCAAATTAACTCGTTATATAAGTAAATTGCACTCCTTTCACAGTCAGCTCTTATATAAAACGTTCATGAGCTGCATCCATTGTTCCACAGGGAGAGAATTCAGTCCCTCGGCCGCTAAGCTCGCAGCTGCCAGAGCGAATTAATGTGAGATTCTAGTGAACATGCAGTGTTTGCTACTCCACCAACAGCGCTCGGCGCTTTGTTCCTTCAGTGGTTAGTTTGGAGGGGCGGTGAGTGAGTCTGCCAAATAAACGGCATCATTTAACGACTGTGTGCAATCTGCAAATCAAATCTTTGCACGGAAAACAATGCTCTCCGGGTCTTCTGGGGACAGCTGGGGAGGCAGACAGATGTGGAAATGTACAGATTTAATTGAAAGTTGAGTGAGTTTAGATGCTGAAGAGTGAGAACCTTTGTGCTTGTGGGGGTTGTGCTGGAATAAACCTCACGTGTGCACAGATAAATGACCGTTTATTCTTTGCATTGCAAAGTAGTTTAACTCACTTTTCCACACATTTGACTCTGAGCATTTACAATTTGAAGAATGGGATTATGCTTTCATTTAAAGAACTCTATGTGTATGCACCCCCCACATTTTAAGTTTTGTTTATGTGTGCTGGCCAGGGCTCAGGCAAGACGTGTATTCTGATTTGATGTTGAGGTCAGGGCCTTAGTAATCATGCATGCATGCTGAAACCATCCCTCAGGCCTGCAGCAGTAGACGGCCGCTCATGCTGGTGTCTTGCTGACCTCTAGCGGACCAAATATAACTCAGTCAGATTTTGGATTTGTGACTTAAAGGACTACGAGTACCCCAACCATCCCCAGTCCACGCAGCACCAGAAGAATGACCGGTGTCCACCGCCACCTCAGATGCTGCCGGAGCGGGCCTGTGACGTCCCAGGATGCCGCTCAGACTCCGAGTGTGAGCGTCACAAACGATGCTGCTATAACGGCTGCATCTACGCCTGCCTGGAGTCCGTTCAGCCACCACCAGGTCAGCACAAGACCTCCGCTTTCTGAATCTCTTGTTGTCTCAGAATTAAACTGATGGGGATTTTGTTTTTGAGCAGTGCTGGACTGGTTGGTACAGCCAAAGCCTCGGTGGTTAGGGGGAAACGGTTGGCTCCTGGATGGTCCTGAGGAGGTTCTGCAAGGTGAGTACACCCACCTGACGAGTCAGGAAGATCAAATTAAACGTATACAAGTATAGATTTCACAGGAAAGGTCATTGCTTTGAGCATTGAGATGGAAAGTCTTAACTTATGTAAAGGAAAAAAAACTGATTTAAGTCCCTAAACCGTGAGTGATTCCAGGCTGATTTTACTTTCTTCTTTACTTCGTGGCTTTGAGTCGGGTCTAATCCCACTGGAAATATGGAAATGCATGTTCTGCCTACAATACCCCACATGCTAACTCCACACATGCACGAGGAGAACACGCTAACTCCACACATGCATGAGGAGAACACGCTAACTCCACACATGCATGAGGAGAACACGCTAACTCCACACGTGCATGAGGAGAACACGCTAACTCCACACGTGCACGAGGAGAACGAGCTAACTCCACACATGCATGAGGAGAACACGCTAACTCCACACGTGCATGAGGAGAACACGCTAACTCCACACGTGCACGAGGAGAACGAGCTAACTCCACACATGCATGAGGAGAATGCGCTAACTCCACACATGCATGAGGAGAACACGCTAACTCCACACGTGCACGAGGAGAACGAGCTAACTCCACACATGCATGAGGAGAACACGCTAACTCCACACGTGCATGAGGAGAACACGCTAACTCCACACGTGCACGAGGAGAACGAGCTAACTCCACACATGCATGAGGAGAACGAGCTAACTCCACACATGCATGAGGAGAATGCGCTAACTCCACACATGCATGAGGAGAACACGCTAACTCCACACGTGCACGAGGAGAACGAGCTAACTCCACACATGCATGAGGAGAACGAGCTAACTCCACACATGCATGAGGAGAATGCGCTAACTCCACACATGCATGAGGAGAACGCGCTAACTCCACACATGCATGAGGAGAACACGCTAACTCCACACATGCATGAGGAGAACACGCTAACTCCACACATGCATGAGGAGAACACGCTAACTCCACACATGCACGTGGAGAACACGCTAACTCCACACATGCACGTGGAGAACACGCTAACTCCACACATGCATGAGGAGAACACGCTAACTCCACACATGCATGAGGAGAACACGCTAACTCCACACATGCATGAGGAGAACATGCTAACTCCACACATGCATGAGGAGAACACGCTAACTCCACACGTGCATGAGGAGAACACGCTAACTCCACACGTGCACGAGGAGAACACGCTAACTCCACACATGCATGAGGAGAACGCGCTAACTCCACACATGCATGAGGAGAACGCGCTAACTCCACACATGCATGAGGAGAACGCGCTAACTCCACACATGCATGAGGAGAACACGCTAACTCCACACATGCATGAGGAGAACATGCTAACTCCACACATGCATGAGGAGAACATGCTAACTCCACACGTGCACGAGGAGAACACGCTAACTCCACACATGCATGAGGAGAACGAGCTAACTCCACACATGCATGAGGAGAACACGCTAACTCCACACGTGCATGAGGAGAACACGCTAACTCCACACGTGCACGAGGAGAACACGCTAACTCCACACATGCATGAGGAGAACGAGCTAACTCCACACATGCATGAGGAGAACGCGCTAACTCCACACATGCATGAGGAGAACGCGCTAACTCCACACATGCATGAGGAGAACGAGCTAACTCCACACATGCATGAGGAGAACACGCTAACTCCACACATGCATGTGGAGAACACGCTAACTCCACACATGCATGAGGAGAACACGCTAACTCCACACATGCATGAGGAGAACACGCTAACTCCACACATGCATGAGGAGAACACGCTAACTCCACACATGCATGAGGAGAACACGCTAACTCCACACGTGCATGTGGAGAACACGCTAACTCCACACGTGCATTTGCAAAAGAACAAGAGCGAAAAGGAAGAATTCATAAACTGAGACTGCTCTCCTGCAGCTGAAGCCTGCAGCACAACTGAGGATGGAGACGAGCCCCTTCACTGTCCTACGGGATACGAGTGCCACATCATCAACCCCGGAAACCCCGCAGCTGGCATCCCAAACCGTGGACAGTGCATCAAGCAGCGCAGCAGTTCTGGTATGATTAGTTCCATCAGCATGTGTTTCTGAATATTCTGATGCAGCAGCACTGACCTTAAAGGTTCCTCACGTGGAGGAGGACCTTGGGTCTTGCAGCTGTTTGATTCCTGGCAGAGTGCTTGTTGTTAGCCACCAGCTTTCTCATTTTAGTTTAGCAGCTAAAAATACACAAACTAGAGCGACTTCGTAAATCACTCACACACGCAAGATGAACTGATTATGTGTGGCTGGAGGTTTGGGCAGAAGCGGATGATTCATAAGGAGAACTTGGTGTTTTTAATCCGTTTCTCTAAATCTGTTTCGCTGTATTTAAAGTTTAATGCCTGTTTTTGTTTCGCCGTTTTTCTGAGCAGATGGGCGAGGTTTGAGACACAAGTACTTCAAGGACTACAAGGATCATTTAGGTGAGGAAGAACGCTTGACATTTTAAATTAGAAAATAAGAAATCAAGCCCTGACGGTAAAATATTTGTATTTCAGGATCTAGTTCTAACAACGCAGTGAGCTACGACAAACATCATCACAAACATCTGGGATAGAGCCCTCCTCAGGTATCATCACTTCACATTCTGAATGTCCCCGGCTGCCTTCAAAAACGTTTTTTTCTTATTTCATTTTTTTCAGGAGGACGTCATCCTCACCTTTAACAGCACCTCAGACATTTCACACCTGAACCAGAATAAGACCTCCTCCGTTACTCGTCCTGTGAGAGACGGGTGTGGTGCTGTACCCACGATTTACAACCAAAGAAATGTGTTTTTACTTAAAAATGACAAAGTCATTAAAGTGCATTGTGAGAGCAACCAGAGCCCTTTTTCTAGTTCCTTACAGTTTTCCTTTAGTCTCGTTTTTGTTCTCACAGACAGAGCTGCTCTCTAACCTTACATCTGGTCAGCAGAGGAAACCACGTCCATGTGGCCGTAACGCTTCCTTCAAAGCTCCGTCTCTCAAATCTGCAAAGAGTTACGAAGACAGAAATATTCCAGCTGTGGGGTTGGATCTCTGATCAAATCCAAACGTGATTTCATATTTAAGGAGGAGAAATAATGCATGGTGAACATTTGTGTTGTGAGGGTTTTAAAACATGTCGACCAGCTGTGGATTCGTTCCAGCCAACAGATGAAGCTGGAAAGAATAAAAGTTTTACAAAAGACTGACATTAAATGTGTTTAGAAAGTCAGAATTGTGAGTATTTTCATGTCTTATATTTCAGGGTGTGTTTGCCAAAGTGTTGATAAAAACTCTGGAGAGCGGTGCAGAAATAAAAAGTAAAAATAATTATATATTACAGTGCATATTTTTAAGTACATTTTGCACTAATTTTCTATTCGTATCAGCCTTAGCTTGTTGTGTTCTTGTATCACAGCTGATGGTGCTAACGTTGTTTGCTGCCTAACAGAAGAGTAAGCTGAAGTAAAACTCGGTGCAGAACTCCGTCGGCGTGTGAATGTCACTGACTGGTGCTGCGTTTCTGCCTTGGCTGTTTCCAATAAACCTCATGATCATGATGCCATTCCCGCTTCTCGGTTTTCTCAGATCTGTTGTTTTTATTGTCCAGATGGAGTATTTAAACAATAATAACAAAAAATGGTAACAAAAATATCCATCCATCCATCATCCATTGTCTGAACCCGCTTGTCCATGCAGGGTCGCGGGGGCGCTGGTGCCTATCTCCGGCAGTCAATGGGCAGTCAGACGGGGTACACCCTGGACAGAGAGCCAGTCGTAACAAGAATATATTTAGCAAATTTGCAGTAATTCTAAATAAAACGTGCACTAGATAGACTCATTACGTGCAAAGTCCAATATTTCAAGCCTATATTTGTTATGATTGTGATGATTATGGCTTACAGCTTGTAGAAAAAAACAAATTCAAAATGTCAGACGATGTGAAAAAGCTCAGTATTCAAACTCTAATCAGTAAATTATTGCAAAACATCTGCAAAGGGTTCCTGACCCTTTAGATGGTCTCTCAGTCTGAGTGGAATCACTGGAATAGATAGACTTATGCAACTTTTTGGCTTTCACATGCATACACGAGCACTCTGAGAGAGATAGAGAGAGAGAGAGAGAGAGAGAGATTTAATATTGAAATGATCACATGACCACAACATATCAACCTACAGTTAGAAAACTAATTTTACTTGAATAATTCTAAGCGTTTGTTCAGAATTGCAGTCTGAATATTGGTTTTGTTACATTAAAGCACAATTATTGATTAAATATTTCCTTTTAATTTTGCATAATTATCTCTAAAAATCTGTTTTGGCTCAACACCTCCCCCTGCTGGAGAAAAGCCACATCACATTCCTTATTAGGCCCATTTCTAAAAAAAGTTTTGGTACTTTATGAATTAAATAAATGTTTTCTGAGAATTTCATGTTTGTATTCAGGAGATTTTCGCTCAGCTTTGATAGTTTATCTTGCTGCTCTGCTCTGTCATCATATTGTGTCATCACAGCGTTACAGCGATACCCCTGCGGGAGTCTCTTTTTGTCTCGTGCTGTCACCTGTGCGCGCGTGCGCTCAGGTACGCACCTCAGCACCTGCCTGAACTGCTGCAATAAAAGAGAATCAGTTAGAGAATGAGTTTGGCAGCATTAGCGCCATTGTGTTCGGATAAATGACGCTGTTCTCCGGATTAGAGCCTGAGAAGGGAACCGTTATGTGGACATGACGTCACCATGAACACACCGGGAAAGTGCTCTGACAAAAGGTTAGTGGCTATTTTAGAATTCAACCATGCATGTGTTCAATGTAACGTCCTTGTCTGAACAGGAACACCTCCAAACATCAGCCAGACAAACAGCTGAGAGAGAGAAAATGCACGTTTCCGCTGCTGATCAAGGTAAGGGTGGATAATTATTATTTTCTAATCATTTTAAATAACTCACAGTTTTTACAAAGTCCTGTTTGACAGCTGGGTGATTATACAAGTTATAGAGGCTGCCATGTTTATGCAGGATGACATAAGCGCCCTTCGAGCAACCAAACACCCAGTTTTCATCTGCAGGCTATAAAATACATGTTATTTATTAGGGAACATACTTGTAATGTTCTTGGCCTGCTCCAGAGCTGCTCCATTCCTACCCAACCCAAGGCCGCTAACTGTAGGAAGTCCTTTGACACCAAAGTTAACCCTTCGTGTCTTCTCTTCCTTCGAAAGAAGGATGCAACTTGCATCAAATTTTTGTAAGAGAAATGTCGCAAAAGCTTGACTATGTGCTGTTTTGTGAGCCTTGAACCTCAGACGTGTGCAGCGTTAGTGAAAATGTCGGTTTAATTCTCCAACCTCTGCGTGATCAGCTGCTGCAGGTGGCTCTACCCATGACTCCATCTACTTTGCAACACTGATGTTTTCTCTCTGCACATAACACAAGCATGGAGGAGTTTTGCTGTGTGGTAGGAGTTGCTAATGCTAACAGTTAGCTTCTACTAGGCCAAGACATTCTCTGCTATCGCGAGTCAAGATGGGGGACTCCATGAATGTTAAAGGTGCATTATGTAGAAATAAAGTAAAACATACATCCCGTGGTCAAATGTGGTTACTACCCGGCCGTCATCTAATTACAATTATGCAGGACACACGGCACCCCCGCCCTCACTGACGGTAAACAGTTACGTCCCTCCTTCCTGTTTTTTAAGGAGATAGTCTGACTATCCCCGCTGCCAGGCGGATATGAAATAAGTTTACGTAGAACCTTCCTTCCAAAATGACTGGAAAGTTAGACTCTTTTAGGATTTTCTCACTGTGAAATTCTTCCTATATTCATGCATACTACACCTTTAAGTTACAGTGTGATGTCACTCTGCCAGGCTTCTGAAATCCTAGAGTTTCACCATCTATTTCCCATCAGAAGCAGATGCAGGAGGTAGATGTAGAAAACTATCTTCATGTTCAGCCTGCATGACAAACTCAGAGTGAGCCATTATGATCAGAAATGATCATTAAAATGGTTTTCAGTGAGCTACACCTTTAATTTACTTAGTTAAAACATCTCCCTTCTGCCATCATGTTTACTTTTCATAGTTTGGTTGGTTGTTTATTAACTGGACATAAAATCATTCACATTAGTGGCTGCACTGGATTTATTTCTAACGCAGCTTTCTCTGATCTAAATAATCATTTGCGTGCTTCGTGACCCGCTTCACTGGGCTGTTTTTCACGGCCGACCCAACTGGCCCCACCGTCCCGCTGACACTGGATTGTGTCATACTTTTGTTTTGATGAGCCGAGGCCTGATAGAGTTACTCGTCGCAGCTTTGTCCCACGCTGACATCGGACCCCCTGAACTAAAGCGCTTCATTAGAGGGAGAGCTCACCTCTGCTGCGTTACAAGCCAATATCAGTGTCACTAAGTACTTTAGTGACATTTGCTGCTCACATTTAACAACATTGGCTAGATTACTAATATCTATTTGCACAACTTCTCCTTGTTTTTCTTCCTGGGTCGTTGCCTTGGCGTGTTTGTCGCGTGTTCTTTTCATGATGAGTTGCCTTCATGTGAACGGACAGAAATGCCTGTGGCTTTGCTGCGAGAGCTCTCATATGAACCATGAGTGTTAACATTTGAATCTCCGAGTACCGCTGGCACCAAAATAGTCCCAGGCATGGCAGCAGCCTCCATGCTGTGGACGAGTTATCCTCGGTGGGCCTGAGAGCCCGCGCTGTGCCGCCGAGGCGAGTCCATTTGTGTTGCCATGGTGTGGAGGTGTTGTGGTCCTGCTCCAGAGAGGCCAGCTGCACTCAGACACTCATCCAGCCTGATAAACATTAATTAGATCAACAAAGAATGCTGTTTGAACAGCCACCCAGGGAGGTGAGTTAATGAGTTCCTGGCTTCGCTTCACCAGTGATTCATGCAACACAGAGCGGCAGCGTCCTCCCCCGTTGCACCTTCTCATCCCGTCTCCATAGGCTCAGGAGCGCTGTTGTGTAATCTAGTCTTACCTAAAATATTGTTATATAAGAAGAGCCTGTTGTAGTTGACTCACAGATTAGTGCACGTGCACGTGCACGCTGCAGCATCGTGTAAGACCTGGAGCCGCTGGTGAAGGTTCTCAGTCATCCAGGTCATGGTAGTCCAGAGGGCTTTGGATGAAGGCAACTGGACTTGAAGACGTTCTGCTTCTCATCTGAGGAGCTTTGTTAGTTGTGACTGGAATGTGAGAGAGTCAGTCTTATAAACTGTTGCTGTCTGTTGTTGCTTAATGAGCAGAAACTACCAACGAACACCCCTGCTCCCTACCTCCTGACAGTTACCTCCCTGTTTCTCCTAACTGAGGTTGTTTTTACAGAATCCTATTTTAAACACTGAAAAATCACGTTTTATAATCTGATTATTTTTTCACCTCATGAATCTGTTAATAAGTAATTTCCAGCTCTGTTTGTTGATGCTTCTGACTGATTAACGTTATGATGAATAGTCAGAATAAAGCTGTAAATCACGCAGTTTTCCCCCTTAAATCTCACTTGTTTGGACTTTATTTGGTCCATAAAGCTTTCAGAATGGCATCAATTGTTTTTCTGTGAAACTGTGAATCTTGTGTTTGCAGCAAAGACCAAACAAGCTTGCCGTCCTCGTTGTTCACTGTGCATGTTGTTGGACCAAAGCCTCCAATCCGTGCTGTTGTTAGGATGTAGAGTCCATGCACACGTAGCTCAGGCTTCAGGCCTTCAGTGGTTAGTGAAGGGTCACAGGGCCACGTCTGCTGTGGAAGACGGCATTTAAAGTTCTGTAGGGTCACGATGAGCCTGACCTGAGGTTCTGACCCCTGCAGGTCCAAGGAAACTTGAGAGAGGAGAGGAGACATCAGTGACCCACTTTAGCTTTTTAGCAGTGGTGAGATAGTTCAAATAAAGAAAAGAGCAAAGAGAGGAAAAATATTCTTGGAAAGTTAAAAATAAAAACGATGGAGGTGGATTGGATCAGAATTAAGACTATTGGTTGATAAGCTGCGCTGCGTTTGACCTACTGCACATGCCGGGCCATCGTCACTCACGCCGGCCCGCTGATGCTTACTCGTCACCTCCATCCTCGACTTCTTCAACCTGGCAGGGCAGAGTCTGGGGCATTTAGGTCATCAGTCCCGCAACACATGATAGGTCCTAAAGCTCATGGCGTCACGTGCACTGAAAACTTTTCATACTGGAGACGAACCCTCAAGCAGACACACCTATGCAGGTTTTGCTCCGCACCTGCTTCAGCGCACCCATCGCTGCGTTCGATCAGCTTTAGCGAGCTGGCAGAGGGCTTCCATGTGGCCCGTGGAAGCAGACATGGGGCCGTGGATCCAGTGTCGTTCCAGGAAAGCAGCTCAGCACGTCTTAGATGAAAGAATGATTCATGAGGTACGGGTGAGGACTCATGCCATCGAAAGAGAAAGACGGCTGCTTGCAGGATTCTCACAAAGACTGTTTTAGAGGAAACGGATGGCGCTTTATTGTTTTCTCCTCATTTAGGACTTGCCATGAGTGTAGTCGTGTCCCAAAGACCGAAAACCTTTAGACTT